AGCTGTAAGTGGAGATGTGGTTCAAGTAGGAGAGCACCAACCTTGAGGAACAAAGCTAAGGGGCATTATCCAGACCCTGAATTCAAGCCCCGGTAATGGTATAATAAAATAAAGCCAACCAGTAAGTGCCAATTCTGGCTTCTGAGTCCTAGGCATTCACTCTTCCAGACACCATACTACCTCTAGTCATTGAGTTTGCTCTTCACCTACTCCACAGTCACCTGTGACAGGTTCACAACAAATTCGCTACTCCTGTACATGAGCCGTCTTTCTTTTTTTTTTTTTTTGTCAGTCATGGGGCTTGAACTCCAGGCCTGGGCACTGTCCCTCAGCTCTTCAGCTCAAGGCTAGCACTCTACCACTGGAGCCACAACGCCACTTCCGGCTTTTTCTGTTTATGTGGTGCTGAGGAATCGAACCCAGGGACTCATGCATGCAAGGCAAACGCTCTACCACTGAGCCACCTTCCCAGCCTCCCTTCTTTGATTCTTATCCCAGCTTTCAACTTCCTTTATTCTCTCTCCCATCTTGTTCTATCTAGGATACAGGACTAGTTCTATTTAACTAATTTTACACAGTAAACACAGAAATGTTTAGATTTACAGTAAGGAAGGGAAATGAACTTGAGGGCAGCTATGAGGCCCACAGTAATACCCAATTAGTCCCCTCACCTGGGGCTAGGGATGGTTAGAGTTGGTTCTTAAGTTTCACTGGTGATGGAATCAAGGGTTGTGGTAGCAGAGTTGTCAGAGAAAGCTCTTTAATTATGTTTGCAGAGAGGCAGGAAGTTCTCTGTGGGGAGGGTAGTTGATGTGAGTCATAAGCTTCACTATGAGTCTTGGCTCCATCTTCTGGTATGTTAGACATCCTGAAATACAAAGAGAAAGAGACAAGACTGTGAGCGAGAAAAGTTAGTGTATATACAATTGAAAGTAGCAAGAATTTTTAAAATAGCATTCAGAAGGGTCATAATGGCAGGCCAAACTTTTCTTGTGGTCTGTACCAAAAGGGGCTGGGGAATGTTACACTGTAGACAATAAAATGATAGGTGCTCAATAATTATTACGTGAAGCTTTACAGACTACAGACACTGATGCTAATCATTCCACTGGCCCTCTTTTATCCAGACTGTAGAGATGGCAGAATAAATAAGTAGCTACCCTTGGATGGCAGCTCCCTTTACTCACCCCCTGGAACATTTACTGCTTACTGTATACAATGTCTGAGTTGGATGATGGAGTGATGTCAATCAGCTACTACATCATCCCCTCTGTATACTGTGTTGCAGTGGCGGAAGGAAGCAATGCCAAGAGGTATTCATGCCACCTCTTATAACAAGTCAGCCAATTAAACCCAATGGCTTTAATTAATGGCTTATTATTCTTCTACAACTTTTGACCAGTATATGCCTTGACCTCAGAGAATTTCAACCATTAGTCTTCCTGCAAGTTTTCTTCTTGCTCATTCCACTTCACCCCTTCCAGAAAACATTATACCTACTATGTGATGTTTGACTCTCTAGTTCCTAGAACTGTCAACTCTTATGCTCTATTTCCTTCCCTCCTTTTCTTTCTTCCTTTCTGCCAGTCTTGGGGCTTGAACTCAGGGCCTAGGCACTGTACTGCTATTTTCCCCCCCTCAAAGCTAGTGCTCTACTCCACAGCTCCACAACTTTTTGCTTTTAATTGCAAATAAAAGTCTCATGGGCTTTCCTGCTCAAGCTGGCTTTGAACTATGACCCTCAGGTTTCAGCCTCCTAAATAGCTAGGATTAGGGGTGTGAGCCACTGGCTTAAGCTCCCTGCTAAACAGAGAAATGATCCTGAAAGTCATGCCTGGTCTATCTGGGTTGTTTTTGTTATGCCTTGTTGCTTCTCTGGAACCAGATTAGTCATAATGTATCACATTTGGCAATGTGGCTTCCTTTTCCTCTTGAGAGTAGCAACTCAGATTCTTGCTGCCAAAGAGGACTTTAATATATAGAGTGAAGAGGTGTTTCCAATAAAAAGCCAAGAACAAAAAGGTGTCTTCCAACTTTTTTCTACCAGATCAAAGAAAGGTATGAAGGAAAACCACCAAAAGATTCACAGAAGTTCAGGACAGAGGGATCCTCAGTAAAGGCTGTCCTACAAGCATAAGCCAAATTTTAGTAACTTCTCAGCTTTACTTCATTCTTAGCAGAGATATTCCAAGTTAGTTTATAAAGGCTTAAAAAGTTTGGTTAAAGAACTTTTTTTTTTTTGAGACAAGTTTTGGCTTGGAACTCAAGATCCTTCTGTCTCAGCCTCTTAAGTACTGGGCTACAGTACCCGGTGAGTCTTTGTAGTTTTAAAATATTTGTTAAGGGGGCTGGGAAGGTGGCTCAGTGGTAGAGCACTTGCCTTGCATGCATGTGGCCCTGGGTTCGATTCCACAGCACCACATAAGCAAAAAGAAAAAAGCCAGAAGTGGCGCTGTGGCTCAAGTGGTAGAGCGCTAGCATTGAGCTGAAGAGCTGAGGGACAGCGCCCAGGCCCAGAGTTCAGGCCCCACGACCAGACCCAAAAAATAAAAAAAAAATATTTGTTAAGAATACTTTTTTTTTGTTGAAGATAAATTTTCTACTTAATGGAATCAGCACATACCCCCAAACCTATATTAACTCTTAGAAGCAAATACCATTTTTCTGTACCAAAATGATATTAAGAAACTAATGCGTGAGGTACAATATAAAAAGATTCATGCTTTTATTATCTTTTTTGTGTGTAGTGCTGTACATAATACCTAGGGTGTAGGCAAATGTTTTACCAATGAACTATACCTCTAGCAAGTGCTTTTCAGGCCCAAAGTAGTGGTCACTTGCTAAAGGCACAGGGGAGAGTATAGAAGTTGGGCTTCATAGTGTTAGTGGAAGGTGTTGGATGGGACCCAGCTTTTAATTAACTTCTACAGTGCTCAGCAATGGCTGACTACTCCAGCTGTAATCTAGAGGGGGATACTGGATGCTGATAATCTCTTTTCAACTGAAATGCCACATGCACCCAACCAAATGTAGGAAGTTGGAAATCCTCTCATTACCATAATCAGCAAAGGATTAAAAAACAAGCGGGTGGGGTTGGGAAGGTGGCTCAGTGGTGGAGTGCTTGCCTTGCATGCATGAGGCCCTGCGTTTGACTACTCAGCACCACATAAGCAGAAAAGGCTGGAAGTGGCGCTGTGGCTCAAGTAGTAAGAGCACTAACCTTAAGCTGAAGAGCTGAGGGACAGCGCCCAGGCCCAGAGTTAAGGCCCCAAAACAGACCAAAAAACAAAACAAAACCACAAAGGGATACAATGGGGATAAAGAAGTAAATTTGCTGGAACCTTTAATTTGCTACAAACCTGAACAGGTACAGGGTAGACTGGTTTAGCCAACACCCTTTTGAGTAAAAACAGGTAGTCTCTATTTGTTTCTGTTGGTCCTGCAGGGCTCACTAACCTCTCCACCCACTTTTTACTTTCAACTTTTGACTGCTGCCTAGGTGAGAACAAAGGAAAGACCCAATCATCTTTAAAAAAAAAAAACAACCCAACAACAAAAAAAGGGTTCGCATGAGGTTCAGTGGTAGAGCAAACTCAATTCCTAGCACCCCCTCTCCCAATCATAGAATGTGTCTGAATACATCCCAGCCTTATATCCCCTTCTTAAACTTGCAGTTAAGCAAAGCTGTTTGCATGAGAGGTAATTTGGATATCTGGTTTTATGTTCCACTTGTTTCTTCCTATAATGCACATGTGCTTCTACATGGGAGAACAGGTTATTTACTTAAGAGCTCTCTCTTACGTGGTGGCCTTTAGTAGCTTTTTCTATGCAGCCTTCATGACTTACTACTCAGCAATTGTGAACAGCCACTGACCAGACTTGTCTATAGTTACTCATAAGAATTAGAAATGCCCCAATACCCCAAACTCATTCTCATAGTGTTACTAGGTCTACACACAGGAGGAGCTAATTCATACCAGTTAGACATTAGCTTAAACAATTTAGGAGGAGGAAGTTAGCCATTTTCAATAACACATCCACAAAGGCCAAACAGGAAGTCTGAAGCTGTTGCTTCCTTAGTAGCAATAGGAACCAGGTGACAAAACTAAAGTCCCAAGGGACAAGGGTGAGCCAGATTCCAAAGGCAGCCAGTTCCTCCGTGCGCCCTCACCTGCTGGGTGTGTCCCTAGGCTGCTGCTATTTCTAAAGTGTCCTGTGACACACATATTCACGTAATCAAGAATGCTATTTTGAGCCTTCTACCCTGCCAGTGACCTGGCCTGGGCTATGTTTTGAATATCTTTTAACCCTTAATGCCAACATTCCATATATTAAGCTTCACTGGATTATGAAAAAAGGGAGCCAGGCACTGGTGGCTCATGACTTTAATCTTAGTCATTCAGGATGCTGAGATCTGAGTATCATGGTTCAAAGCCAGCCTGGGCAGCCAAGTCCATGAGACTCATGTCCAATTAACCACCAGAAAGCCATTAAGTGTAGCTGTGGTTCAACTGGTAGAATGCCTACCTTGAGCAAAAGCTAAGGTAGAATACCCAGGCCTCAATTTCAAGTCCCAGTATTGGTGCGCACGCGCAGGCACACACATGCACACATACACACACACTCACACACAATGCGGTGAGAAAGAAGGGCAAAGTGTCACTCCTGATTGCCAAAGTGCAGTGAGAAGGTTAAATGTGGGGGTAGGACCCTTACCACACCACACCCTTCTTCTTCAATCCTATGTTTTAAAAATACTACTTGGCTCACAATTGTACAACTTTTGGAAGACACAGAAATAATTATTCATACAATATATCCCACTTCATTACCAACCACTCCCTGAGCATCTTGGTCTCAACCCCACCCACTACACAATTATACAAAAGATCAAACAAAACCCACAAGTCCTGAAGATCTGGCTCAGATGGCCTTCAATGCCATTAAAAGTCAAAGGGGCAGCTGGATAAGATCAAGGTCAGAGGTGAAAGTCAACCACACAACAAAGAAAACTATACTTTATTAATCTGGAAAACAAAACATTGAGGACAAAGAGTTTTTTTAAAAAAAGGAATGGCAAGAAGTAAGTGCAAGCGGTCATGAGGAAGGGATGAGTGCTCTATGACATCTTTCTGTGTGCCCGATAATTGCTCAGTACACACTATTCTCACTTCCCTTCCCCACATACCCTTACACCAAAAGCCAATACAATTGCATCTCCAGAGACATATCCGGGCTTTTCAGCACTCTGTAGTTGATTTCACTCTCAGCCCTGGGCAGTCATGTTGGATCTTCGTTGGAGAAATTTTAGACTTTCCAACCACAGGTCTGAACCACAAAGCAGCAGTTTCCACTCCTGGAGAGCTGTCTCATATTTGATTCGGTAGAGCAGCCAGGGGCCCTTGGTCAAAGCCCCAACCTCAAAGAAAAATGTCAAACCTTTAGAACTAGTTATTTTATTAAATGATATTAATACACATTTCAAAAGGATCTCGTTGTTGCCTCTAAAGCATGTAGTTGTTTTTGTTTTCCAAACTAAACACGTGAGAAATATCAATCCAACTTATCTAATTTATTAACAGGCACTCCACCAATTTTTTTTAAAAAAAGGGAGGAAGCAGTAATTTACAGCAGCTTCAAAAATTGTAACAGCTGAAGCTTAATTCTGCATGAACAGGTAACTTCAGGACTGATAGTGATTATTCTGCAATTGTGGAAATATATCATATTCACAAGGTCTAGACAGAGAAAGGTTTGCTGTACTATGTATCACATTATATTCCTGGTGATAGGAGGATGAGTCCTATTCTGTTCATTTTACCCTCTCTAATTAAACCAACTTATGATTTACCTGGACTCTAGGGAGAACATAAGGGAGAAAGCTCTCTCTTACTTAATCGAAGAGAAATCTCTTACAAAATACTTCAGGGACCTTATTTCTGATACCGTATCACTAAATTTTAAGCAGTACTAGTATCTTCACTAGAATTCTTTGTCTGTGATTTTATAGTGAGCACCAAGGACCTTAGGCAACTTCACATATGCTTTCATATGGAATCAAGTCCTTGCTAAGACACGCTATATTAATACATTCTTTAAAAAATATGTTTATTTTTTTTAAGTTGGATGAAATACAAAAGTCAGAGCATGGTCACAGAGTTTAAATCACAGACACAGAAAGAATAAAACCCTTTTGTTTCATGTTTTATGAATACCAGAATTCTTTTTGTTTCACTATATCACATATATACATTGTCGTCTTCTTTTACTGTTGTAGACAGACTTCCTTAATAGCCAGCAGTCTCATACAAATCCTCACTTCCATCCTGAAACAAATGTACTGAGGATCTTGTGGTAAAACCGAATTATCACACACACAAAACAAACACACACACCTCTTAAAAGTCCATCTTTGACCTGTACAGTGTCTTCCTTTCATGTATCAGCCATCACACTTTTGAGGACAATTACCCTGTCCCAACATCCAGGAAGCTACTTTCCTGATATCCCCACATTTTCTGATAAAATCAAACGGTCAGTGAGCCTTTTCAAGTAAACACTACATTTAGCTTAAACAAGAGCAGCAGAAAGAATTCACATTCTTTTATTCTAGAATGAAAATCATCCCACTTAATTTCTACAAAAAAAAGTCAACTTTGCAAGTAAAATAGAATACCCTACTCCCACCCCCACTTTCTCTTATGCTTTTTTTGTTTTGTTTTTGCTATACAAATGTCTTAATACTCAATATAACTCTACTTCTTTTGCTTTGCTATACTATATACCCCATCCCACACACAAGGTCATGATATCATGCATTTTTGTGGGGAGAGCTACAGACAGGGCAGAGGCTTGAGAGGGTTAAAGTTAAGAACAGCTGGCTTAAGACCAGATAGGCATTAAGGAGATGAATGATCTGCCACATCCTAACCACAGAACACAAGGTGAACTAAAATAAATAACATGAAATACATAACACAAACTCCCAAGCTATAATGCACACCTGGTTTAGGCTGCTCCTTCTTTTAAAAGCAGATTTGAGATAAAGAATGGTCTTCTACTACATTGCTCACTTTCTTCCATCTTTTATTTCACAGAGAAATCCAAAAATTCCTGTAGTACCCTATGGGTTAGTTCTATACTAACTTCAGAGAGAATACATGAATCTTGCTAGGATTCATTTAAAAACTGTTAGTACTGTTTTATTCATCTAGCTGGAGATTATCAGTGTATATCTTGGTGTAAAATACTAAATTAAAAAATTGTAATAAGCAGTATTTGCCTTTTAGTGTCCCTACATACAAAGATATAAACGCTCAAAGTACAGTGATTGTCTCTTTTCCCAAGTACTGGTTGTAGAATACAAACAAATCTTTTAAGTCAGGGAGAAGGAAACACTTCTCATGTAAAATGACTAAGGGCACAAATGTTCTTTACTTCTTATTGGGGGGAGGGAGGTGGAGACTTAGCTAAGCTTGAGCCTTGAAATATATCAAGCTGCTAGCTGCAGAGGGGTGTCAATTTGGACTTATCAAGTCCTTCTATTTCTCTGTGAAAACTGTAGAGTAATGCCCACCTGTTTCTAAGACACACTTGAAGAGGTATAATACAAAGATACTACCAAATCGCCTTTGAAATACCAAGAACAAGGGTGAATTGAGGACTGGGGAAAAGGGGAAAAGGAATACAAAGACAAAATATTTTCCTTTCTCTAACAGGTAAAGTTTACTGAAAACCACCGCTGAGCATCACATTAGGGAGACCAATGGTAAAATTAAGGTCTACTTATTGTTTAAAAATGCAGGGATATTTCAATTGCACCTTTGTGTCAACTGTCAATCATGGGAACTTTGTAGGCAAACAGAAATGGTAACTGAGTAAGAAAAAGAAAGAGAAGCAGTAGGCAAGGGCTTATAGAAGATGTGTGGGAACTACTGGAACATTTGCTAATCTTTCTTTTACAAAGATCAGATCACATCACATGAAAAAAACAAAAACAAAACACGGTTCCTTTCTTAGCTTTTTATACTGTAGTCACACTTTCAACTTTGAAATTCTATTCAGCTTCCTGAATTCCATTCAACGGACAAAAGGAAAACTTTCCACTTGAACAGTGAGGTTTAGAGTACCTCAAAGTAACATGACGGCCTGATAGCACTTTAAAGGAAGAAGTGATTAAAAAATTAATTTTTTAGCAGGGCAAAGAACTCAATTTCAGTACCTTTAAAAACAAAACAAAACTGGACAGGCCCAAGGTCTCCCATATTTCCTTCCTCAAAAGTATCAGCTCTTGGCTATCAGCAGGACAGCAAGTACAAGAAAGGAAGGGGACAGGAACCCTGGAGTACTAAACGGGTCAAGCCCAAAGTAACACCCCAACATTGCACGTCATCACCTGTACTGAGGGAAGTTTTATTTCAATGTAGTAATATTCGATGGGACAGAACTTAGTTTTCCTCTCCACTCCCCAGAACCCTGGCCAAATGCAGTGGCTTTGGTTGTGTTTATTTCTTCTTTTTAAAAATACAAACAACTTGGGGAAGGAAGGTAGTAAGTGGAGTGGGAGAGAGGATAGATGGAATAGTAAAATATGTGTAGCTTTTTAATTTGGAAAAGAGGCCCTTCATTTAAAAAAAAAAGTAAATCAAGGGAGGGAAAACAAATAAAAACAACAATTAACCAAACTCCTACTTCCAATGCTCTCTGAACTGTTCAAATTGTCTTTCCCATGGTTCCAAATCAGTACCTGGGAGGGAAGAATGGGCGTTTTGGTGCAAAGAACGGAGGGCCCCTAGCAAAAGGTGGCCTGGGTCTTTTTAAACTGTGGAATGGGTCTCTGCCAAGAAAAGGTTCCCGGGGCCTAAAATCTGGCCTGGGACTCCGTAAAATCATACCACTCCGGCTGATGGTGTCTCTGTGTGAGGGACCCAGGAGGGGGCCACTGCTGCTGGTGCCGAGTCCCCCACCTCCTCCTCCATGGGCTGGACCCAGGTGCTCCAGAGAATGGGAGGGCAGGCTCAGGCTCTCGCGTACACGGCTAAGGCCAGGGCCGTTGAGGTCCCGTTGGGTGGGGCCCACATGGTCCCTGGGTCCTGTGAGCACCCCAAAATGCTCAGCCAGGGCCCCTTGAAGGAGAGAACTATGGTCCTTGGGAAACACTGCCACAGCCCCTGCCACTCCGTGTTCTGCCAGTGGTGGGGTTGGGAAGGGAATAACCCCGGAGTGGTCAACCGGGGGCGGAGGGGGTGGAGTAGCAAAGGGGACAGCGCTGCCGCCACTGCTATGTTCCCCAGGGGGTGGAGGGGGTGGGGTTGGGAAAGAAACTCCGCTGTGCTCGCCAGGAGGCGGCGGTGGGGCCGCGTGAGCCAGGGCCGCCTCTTTTGTGAAGGGGTTCGAAAGATCCACAGAGGGCAGATGAGTGGGCGCATCTCGAGAGAAGATACCACCATGATCCTTAGACGGGGCGGGCGGGGCAGGTGACGGCCCCACTGGCTCTCTCTGGAAGGGTGCCCCATGTTCCAGGGGGGATGGGGGGAGATGATGCTCAAATGTTGAGTTGAAACTGTTGGAACGAAAGCTGCCGACACTCTCCTGAAATTGGGGTGCCCGTTCCTTGTATGGTGTTGTTTTAAAACCAGTGAGGCCTCCGCTGCCCCCACCCCCAAGGGATGCCAGCTCAGAGGCACTTGAGGGACCATTGTCAAAAGAGCTGCCTGATGTGCTCAGATCAAACCAACCCACCCTTGAAGCCTCACGCCCATGTCCTCTATTTCCCTTCCCAGGAACTCGGATGGACTCTACCGTCTGTATTGGCTCCCCTGACATCCTCCTATTGGCTGCATTATGGTAACCCAGAGTTTCTATAGGGGCCCCCTTTTCTTCTGTGCTATCAGGCAAGTCTAAGCAGGAGGAGGAGACACGGGTTTCTATGCGATAGTGCTCTTCTTGTTGCTGCTCAGTGGCTGTCAAACTGGGTTGGGTGAGGTTGGACAGGCTGACACCATCACTGGAAGTGCCCTTGTTGGGGGTCTGGCCAAAATGCTTATCATCGGAGGGCTTGCGCGAGGCATTTTTAAGCATATTCTTAAACTCAATCGTCGAGGTGGTAGAAATGGTGGAGGCCAGGACTTTCTCCATGCCTGATGCGGGTGGGTGGCCCGTGGGAGCTGCAAGGGTACTCTGCGGAGAGAAAAGGGAACGATGTGGAACTGGGTGAGGAGAGTCTGGGTACTGCTTCTGTGGCAAAGTGAGATGCCCAGTGGTAGACTGAGACAAGCTATTGTGGTTGGAGTCAGGGGTGAAAAATGAATCATTCTTACTCGGCGATGGTGACCGGTCAGACCCAGGTTCATTCCCTCTTATGTTGAAGGCACCAAATAGACCAGGGGAAGATGAGAGACGGTCACAGTTCTCACTAGAGTCCAGGAGAGCTCTCACAGATGGAGGGAAGGCAGACTTTACCCCAAATTCTTGAGCCCTGTGGCTGTAACTGGACAGGATTGGCTGGTACTCGGTGGCATCAGCAAGCTTGCTTGACTTCAGGATCGATTTGGCTGGTTTCTTCTCTAGGTTCATCATAGCAGAAGGTGGAGGCCCTGAATACTCAAAATCTCGATAATCCTCATCTTCTTGGAAAGAAGTATCTGGAAAGAACTTTTCCTGGGAAGAGTCCATCAGGGAAGATGGTCTCTCCATTCCATCAGAAGACTGCTTATAGGGAGACTCGCTGCCCAGGCCAAAGGGTCGATATGTAGACGAAGAATTGGAGAGCTCCCGGGAGTAGCTTTCCTCTCTCCCAGGGGGTGGTGACCTTGTACTGCTCGGTGTTGAGGAACCAGGGCTAATGATCTTAGAAAGCAAGGACATAGTATCTACACTGCTGGACGTGGGCTTGTCCATCATCTCATCCTGGGTAGGTGTTCCACTCCGCTCATCCCTTACCGGGGTTCCATCGATGTTGTCCATTGAGGTGCTAGTAGGGCCACGCTGCATGTCTGATGGATGACTCTCTGTTGAGGCACTGGACCCCAAACTGCTCAGGATTGGGATGTTTAGGTTTAAGCCACTGAAACCAGGATTACCTTTTAAGAAGTTGTGGATCTTCATTTCCAGGCTTGGGGAGGTGGACTCTGACTCTAGCTTTGGCTTGGAAACCTCTGAAGATTGGCATATGGCAACTTCAGTAGGTGGGGCAGCAGGGCTACTGTTATGGGTACCTGTAAACCCTAGAGAATTAGCAGGTAGTTTAAAAGTAGTGCTTGGGAGCCCTGGGTTGTGCCCAATTGATGCCTTATTGGCAGAAGTTGAAGAGACTTCAGAAGTTGATGAATTAGGAGAATAGCTGAAGCTTTTGGGAATAAATGACTGGGCATTGGAGGGCAGATTTCTTCCCTTTATGGTAGACACTGTTGTGTTGGCTGGGGAGGATGAAATGTTCTGGGATGCAGCTTCGGTAGCTGGAACTGGATTCCCAGTAACACTCTGAAGTAAAGATGACAGGCCTGTAGAAACAAAGATTAGAGGACTTAAAGAAAACAACCCTCTACTGTATAATAAAAACAATGTCAGTTTTTTAGATATTATCTTTTCATTCTGGTGGGAACCAGATAAGACTTCAAAATATGAAGCGAAAGGGAATTCACATCAAGCAAGCAATGCCAAAATGTCACAGAAATGGGTCCTATTTATCAATCTAAGATAGCAAATCATTGAAATGTTTCCACTACAGTCCAGAACAAGGCCAACAATAAAAGGCAACAGGAAGGGGAGGATTTTAATGTCAGAATCATTCACAGATTAAATAAAGCTGTGTAGGAGGAGAATGGAAGCAAAATTATTCTTAAAACAACACTTTAAGCCAGTATTTCTTTTTTCTTTCATTTCTCAAAGTACAGGGATGTGAACTCAGGGTTTCTTGCTTGTTAGACAGGTGCCACTGAGCCATGCTTCCAGCTTTAAGCCAGTATTTTATTTTTCATTATTTTATTTTTTGTTGCTAGTCCTGGGGCTTGAACTCTGGGCCTAAGTCTGAGCTTTTATGCTCAAGGCTAGCACTCTACCACTTGAGCCTTAGCTCCATTTCTAGCTTTTGGTGCCTGGATCCTACTCAGATTTTTTTTTTGTGGTTGGTCATGGGGCTTGAACTTGGGGCCTGGGTGCTGTCCCTGAGCTCTTCTGCTCAAGGCTAGCTACTACTCTGAGCTTAGTGCCACTTCTGGTTTTCTGGTGATTATTTGGAGAAGAGTCTCATGGACTTTATGGGCTGGCTTTGAACTGTGATTTTCAGATCTTCCTACCTAGGTAAAACTATCTTTCACCACTAACAAGCTGTAGAAAAATCTTATCAAATAGAGCTGTGGATGACATAATAAGAACAAAATTCTAAGAGATTTGTTTTACAGATTTTGAGTAAATATATTTCTTTTTTTTTTTTGTCGGTCGTGGGACTTGAACTCTGGGCCTGGGCGCTGTCCCTCAGCTCTTCAGCTCAAGGCGAGCACTCTACCACTTGAGCTACAGCGCCACTTCCAGTTTTCTGGTAGTTTTTTTTATTGGAGATAGGAGTCTCACGGTCTCTCCTGCCCGGGCTGGCTTTGAACCTCGATCCTCAGATCTCAGCCTCCTGAGTAGCTAGGATTACAGGCGTGAGCCACCAGCGCCCGGCTGAGTAAATATATTTCTTTACATTGCTAGATATAATTCTCTTAAAAGTTAAGGAGAAATCTACTTCCTGTTAGCAAACAACCATATTACTATCCCACAAAGGTTATGTTCTAGAGTTCTCATTTTGTCAGAATACATTTAGTTCTATTCAGATTTTGCCTAATGAGTTCATATCATGCTATGATACTGTTGTAGTAATCTGAAAAGGGTTTTTTTTTTTTTTTTTTTGGTTTTGTGTGTGGAGGGGTCGGTACCTGTACTAAGGCTTGAACTCTGGGGCCATGTATTCTAACAGGACTTTCGCAAGTCTAGCCCTCTATCACTTGAGCTATATCTTCACTTCTAGCTTTTTGCTGACTAATGGGCGATAGGAATCTCTCCGACCTGCCTGGCTGCCTTTGATTCTCAGATCTCAGCTTCCTGAGTAGCTATGATGATAGGCTTTGTCTACTGGAGCACAGCAGACTCTTCCTCCTTCCTCTTTGTGCTGGTACTAGGGCTTGAACAAAAGCCTCCCACTCGACTTTCTTGGGCAAGGCTAGAGATTTACCACTTGAACCACACCTCTACTTTTTTTTTTTTTTTGCCAGACCTGGGGCTTGAACTCAGGGCCTGGGTGCTGTGCTTGAGCCTCTTTGTGCTAAAGGATGGTGCTGTACCACTTAGGCCAGTGTCACTTCTGACTTTTTTTTTGAGGAGTTTATTAGGGCTAAGAGTCTCACATACTTCATGCTTGGGCTGGGCTTAGAACCCACTGAGTAGCTAGGATATATGCATGAGCCACTGGACCCAGACCAATACAACTGTACCTCTATTTGCTAACTAACTGAAGAGTCTCACAAATTTGTCTACCTGAGCTGGCTTTGAATTGCAATCTTCAGATTTTAAATTTCTTGAGTAGTGGAATAAGCTACTGGTGTCAGGGTGAAAAGCCTCTCTTTAAGAATTGTATCTACAGGAAAAGCTTAAACACAAAACGAGTTGAAGATTTTTTTGACTTTGGAATGATAGTAAAAGAGGAACTGTATTGATAAAGATGCACTGTACTTAAGAAACTGATTTGTTGCATTGAAACCCCTTTGTACAACTGCTTAAAGATAATTTTTAAAAAAATTAAAAAGAACTAAAAGAATCAGAACTAGATGTGTGGCTCAAGTGGTACAGCACCTGCCAAGCAAATTCAAACCCCAGACTGAGGAAAGAAAAGGGGGATAAGAGTGAGGAGGACGTGGAAAAAAAATCCCCCCCTCAGTCGTGGGGCTTGAATTCAGGGCCTGGCCACTGTCCCTGAGCTTATGTGCTCAAGACTAGCGCTCTAGCACTTATGCCACAATACCACTTCTGGTCTTTTCTGTTTATGTGGTACTGAGGAACAGGGCTTCATGCATGCTAGGCAAGCAGTCTACCACTAAGCCACATTCCCAGCCCTGGCTGTTAATTTCTTAAATGAACTGGTCCTAGAACTAGTAGTACTAGATATGCTGTAGTATGTCCTTGGTTTTTCCTTTTAGTTTTTCTAGACAGAGTCTTGCTATGTAGCCCAGGCTGTTCTCAAACTCAAGATTCTCTTGACTCAGACTCTTAAGTATTGAGGTTACTGTATCATCAATTCTTTGGTATCCCAAAATGGAAACTGGATTATCACTTAATATTTAGTTCTGTATAATAAAGTTCATCTATATCTTTTAAGATAAAATAAACAGGGGCTAGGAAGGTGGCTCAGTGGTAGAGTGCTTGCCTTGCATACATGAGGCCCTGGGTTCGATTCCTCAGTACCACATAAGCAAAAAAAAAAAGCCGGAAGTGGCACTGTGGCTCAAGTGGTAGAGCGCTAGCCTTGAGCTGAAAAGCTGAGGGACAGCGCCCAGGTCCAGAGCTCAGGCCTCACGACCGGACCAAAGAAATAAAAAAGCATATGAAGCTCAACATTTACTAACCTATACTAAAACCTGGAATTAATGTAGTCCCTAGAGATGTCATGGAGTAGGTGAATGAATACTGGGCACTAATCCTAATTGGATAAATACATATGTGACTTTAATCAGGTCATATTGCCCCTTAAATGAAAGGGATGGTATCAGACTAGAGCGTATTTAAAGTCTCTTTCAGTGCTGACATTGTATAAATGCTAGATCATAAATGATAAATATAAATAAGGTAATAATGGACTAATGGTATACATTTCTTGGCTTTGGATTCCTAGAACTGGAATTCAGTATTATGCCAGAGACGTAGCATTCAAAATTCAAGTCCCTCTGGCACATGCCAGTTTACCTTGTAGTGCAGGGGCTGACTGAGTCTGGGTTTTGGAAAGAGCAGATAGAATACTCTCTGGGGTGATCTCCACCTTCGAGAGGATATTTGCCAGAGGGTTGTGAGAAGTTGTTGTGGCAGGTGCAGGTGGTTTCAGGCCACTGGTGATGTTGCTGGGACTGGTGGGAGTTCCTGGAGAAGGTCTCGATGCAGGACTGACCCCTGGTGGCAGAAAGATGAACTCAAGAAAATGCAATTCAAACTGCACTTTTAATTTGACACTTGTCTAATCCGCCAATGATCCACACAAGATTCCTTATTATAACATATACAAAGAAAAAAAATCTGAAGATTAAATTTAAGATTTGCTCCTTTTACTTGGAACATCCTTAAAACAAACAAGTATTCGGCTATTTTCATAAATACCTACTAGTTTTCAGAGCCCAAATAAAAATAAACTAGGGAAATATACTTAACATTTTTTTTTTCTTTTTTTTTTTTCGGTCAGTCGTGGGGCCTGAACTCTGGGCCTGGGAGCTGTCCCTCAGCTCTTTAGCTCAAGCCTATCTCTCTACCATTTGAGCCACAGCACCACTTCCAATTTTCTGGTGGTTTATTGGAGATAGAGTCTCATGGACTTTTCTGCCCAGGCTGGCTTTGAACCGTGATCCTCAGCTTCCTGAGTAGCTAGGATTACAGGTGTGAGCCACCAGCACCTGGCTTAACATTGTTTTGTGTGTGTGCCAGTATTGAGGCTTTTACTTAGGGAAGGCCTTGGCACTGTCTCTTTCTGCTTTTTCATTCAAGGCTGGCATTCTACCACTTAAACCACAGCTCCACTTCTGGGTTTGATGGTTATCTGGAGTTAAGAGTCTTACAGACTTTTCCTGCCAAGGCTGGCTTCAAACCTTGATCCTCAAATCTTAGCCTCCTGAGTAGCGAGGATTACAGGAGTGAGCCATCAATACTGGGTCTTTTTCCTCTATCAGATATTTCAGAATCCTGCCTCAGAGCCCTGCTGGTGCCCAGTAAAGACAGATGGCACTGGGCACTCATGGCTAATGCCTGTACTCAGGAGGCTAAGATCTGAGGATCACGGTTCAAAGCCAGCCCAGGCAGCAAAGTCAGTCCGTGAGACTCTTATTTCCAGTAAACCACCAGGAATCTAGAAGTGGCACTGTGGCTCAAGTGGTAGAGCGCTAGCCTTGGGCTGAAGAGCTGAGAGACAGTGCCCAGGCCCAGAGGTCAAGCCCATTACCGATCAAAAAAAAAAAAACAAAAACAAAAAAATCCCCCCAACAAATGGCTAAGTGATCAGAATCACTTCAACTGCAGAACTCTTGCATGTGCTAGGTTAGTAATTTGCTTCTGAAATGGCCTTTATTTTTTTGTTGGTCGTGGGGCTTGAACTCTGGGCCTGGGCGCTGTCCCTCAGCTCTTCAGCTCAAGGCTAGCGCTCTACCACTTGAGCTACAGCGCCACTTCCAGTTTTCTGGTGGTTTATTGGAGATAAGAGTCTCATGGTCTCTCCTGCCTGGGCTGGCTTTGAACCGCGATCCTCAGATCTCAGCCTCCTGAGTATCTCAGCCTCCTGAGTAGCTAGGATTACAAGCGTGAGCCACCAGCGCCCAGCTGAAATAGCCTTTAAAACAAGATTTATATAAGCAACCTCTATGTTTACATTTTAAAATATTGGGTAGATTATTAACATAGTAAAAAAGGTATATAAAGATAACAAAAATATTTGATTTGTTAAAAATGATAAAACTACGAGCAAAGATTTTACAAGAAATAAAATGAAAAAAAGTTAACATTTTTAATCCAAAAAATGTCTTAAAACAACTTCAAAAGGTTTGAATAGGACATCAATTAAAATGAAACTGAGAATATGAGGAACAATGGAAACATCCATACATTAGGCCCATTAATTAGTACATTCTTAGATACCAATTTAGTTATAACATTTTATAAAACCCAAATCTTAAAAATCTACATACTCCCTCCCCCCTTTATTGGGTGACATTCCTGGGAGCTTGAACTTGGGCTAGGTACTGTCCTTGAGCTCTTATGCTCAAGGTTAGTTCTCTACCACCCTGGCTCTGTTTCTGGCTTTTTGGTAGTTAACTAGAGTTAATTGGAGAACCACAATTGTGAGATCTCAGCCTCTGGAGTAGCTAGGATTGTAGCTGTAAGCCACTGTTACCAGGACTACATGACCATCTTTGAGTGTCTCTATCTTTTAGGAATATATCTAAGTATTTATGATTTGATTAAATGATTGTGATTTCCTTTCAAAAGAATCCAGACTGGGTAAAGAATAGATGAACTAAGATTTGGTGTGGTTAGCACATTGTAATAAGTGGCGAGTACATGAGAGTGACATACTCGTGTGTATTTTGTCTTTTTTTTTTTTGAGGGGGGGTCATTTGTGGGGCTTGAACTCTGGGCCTGGGTGTTGTCTCTGAGCTCTTCAGCTCAAGGCAAGCACTCTACCACTTGAGCCACAGCGCCACTTCCAGTTTTCTGGTGAGTCTCACGAACTTTCCTGCCCAGGCTGGCTTTGAACCCTGATCCTCAGATGTCAGCCTCCTGAGTAGCTAGGATTACAGGTGTGAGCCACAGGTGCCCAGTTTTGTATTTTCTTTTTTTGTGCTGGTACTGGGTCTTGATCTTGGGGACTGGACACTGTTCCTGAGCTTTTGTGTTCAAGCTAGCACTCTACTGCTTAAGCCACAATGCTACTTCCAGCTTTTTGGTAAGAGTCTCATGGACCTTCCTGCCTGGGCTGGCTTTGTACCACAATCCTCAGATCTTAGCTTCCTGAGTAGGCTTACAGGTGTGAGCCACCCATGTCCAGCTACTCTTGTGTATTTTCATTTACAGTTTTAATAAAACCAACCAAAAACTTTCCCAAAATATGTATCTACTGATCAATTCTTTAGTTTCTTTTAGAGGCAAGGTCTCATTATGTAGTCCATACTGGCCTTGAACTCAATCCTTCTGCCACAGTCTTCTGAGTGGATTACAGACCCATACTACCAAACCTGGCCCTACTCATCAACTCATCTAGGAAGACTTCATAACATTTTATCATCCAGATTGTTTATTATAGTATGCCTTTTTAACAGTGGAAAGATAAAAACATACACGTCTAATAATAAAAGATAAATTATCAAACACTAGATAGCTATTAAAATGTATTTAATATTCAATGACATAAAATGTTCCTATGTACTTCACTTTTAGGTAGCTATTTTTAAGACAATATAGACAATATGTTTCTATTATTAAAGAAAAATTATTACAAAGATTTAATCCTCAAACACTTACATAGATATAATTTTATGGGTAAATATAAGTGGCTTCCTTTAGCATAGAATTGTAGGCATATGTTTATTTTCTAAAGTATTTGGTTTTATTGTATTTTTAACAAAAAATTTCAATATTTACCACCAACAAAAAAACAAATAATGGCAAAAAAAAAAAAAAAAGATGGCCATCAGTTTTTGTATCTTCTTCACTGGGTTACTTACCAGTATTTTTCATGACTGATGTCAGGCTGCTAAGGATGGAACTGATCTTTGCCAGATCCACATTAGCCAGGTTTGGCAAAGCCAAAGCTGGGGAAGAGGGCAGAAGAGTAGTATTCACAGGCTTTGCAAGAGGTGGAGTTGCTGTCATGGTCACAGGAACAGGGGCACACGAAGAGGCCTTTGAGGTACTTTCTGTTGGCTTTGTAGGTACAGAAGTAGAGACTGACTTCTCCATAGGTTTTTCCTTCCTGTCCTCCACTGTTTCAATCAACAAGAGACAATATTATATTCACTCTTTTCTAGACTTTACTTCTAACATTAAGTAATATGTCCTAATATTTTCTGACCAGAGAATAAAAAAACCACTATATATATAGTTTGTTTTGTTTTTGTTTTTTTGGTGCTGGTCCTGGGGCTTCATCTCAGGGCCTGGGCACTGTCTGTGAGCCTTTTTTGCTCAAGGCTAATGCTCTACACTTGAGCCAAAGCTCTACTTTTGTCTTTGTTTTTGGTGATTAAAGAGTCACATGGACTTTCCTGCCCTGGCTCTGTTTGAACCGTAACCCTAGTCTCCTGAGTAACATGAGCTCTTTTTACTTTTTTTTTTTTGTTTGTTTGTTTTTTGGTCCAGTTGTGGGGCCTGAACTCTGGGCCTGGGCGCTGTCCCTCAGCTCTTCAGCTCAAGGCTAGCGCTCTACCACTTGAGCCACAGCACCACTTCTGGCTTTTTTCTTTTTGCTTATGTGGTGCTGAGGAATCGAACCCAGGTCCTCATGCATGCAAGGCAAGCGCTCTACCACTAAGCCACCTTCCCAGCCCTCTTTTTACTTTTTAGTCACATTCTTTACAATTTATGATCATTTACACCATCGATATGTGCTTTAAAAAAATTTCCCAATCACTTTACGTCTTGTTAATGATTTTTTTTTTTTAAGTTGTAAAGCTTTAACTCAGGGCCTGGGTACTCTCCCTGAGCTCTTTTAGTTCAAGGCTAGCACTCTACCACTCTGAGTCACAGTTCTGCGTCTGGTTTTTCAGTGGTTAATTGTAGGTAAGAGTCTCATGGAGACTTTTCTGCCCAGGTTGGCTCCAAATCACAATTCTCAGATCTCAGTCTTCTAAGTAGCTAGGATTACAGGCATGAGCCACCAGCGTCTACCTTTAATGACCCTTTACATACTTCTAGTATTAGTGGATTTGTTTATTTTTTGTTGGTCATGGGGCTTGGACTCAGGGCCTGGGTGCTGTCCTTCAGCTCTTCAGCTCAAGGCTGTCACTTGAGCCACAGGGCCACTTCTGGTTTTCTGGTGGTTAATTGGAGATAAGAGTCTCAAAGACTTTCTTGCCCCTGCAGGCTTTGATCTGTGATCCTCAGATCTCAGCCTTCTAAGTAGGATTACAGGCGTGAGCCATCAGCGCCCAGTTTAATTTAAAATTTTAAAAGAATTTTCTGGAACAGGGCTGGGAAGGTGGCTTAGTGGTAGAGTGCTTGCCTTGCATGCATTACGCCCTGGGTTCGATTCCTCAGCACCACATAAGCAGAAAAAGCCAGAAGTGGCGATGTGGCTGAAGTGGTGAAGTGCTAACCTTGAGCTAAAAAGCTGAGGGACAGCTCCCAGGCCAAGTTCAAGCCCCATGATCGACAAAAAAAATTCCAACTTTTTCTGAGTAATTTATTAGAGGTTAAGAATCTCACAGACTTTTCTGCTCAGCTAGCTTTGAACTGCAAACCTCAGATCTCTGCCTACCATAAGTAGCTAGGATTAGAAGATAAGCCATGGTGCCCAACTCCTTTTGGGGAGTTTTAAGTTGATGTACTAATTATATATATATATATATATATATATTAAACTCTGTGTCTATATATGGTTGATTAATTGCTAGAATATAGAAATTAATATAGAATTTGAAATATTTAGAATGCTTATAGAAATTAGAAAAACAGAATATTAATAACATAGAAATAAGCTATCTATTAAGCACATAAGGACATACCAATGATTTTTGACCCATCATCTTCCACATCTGAGAGCTCCATGTCTTCCACATCACGATTATCAGTCACAGGTTCCGGGGTGGCAGATTTCTCACTCTCCATGGTTGGTGACTGTGATTCTTCACCTCCCATTCCCTGAAATGGAGACTCAGAACCAGTTGGAGAGGGAGCATCCATGCTTGGAGAAGGGACTGGTGATTCTTCAGGATCAGGAAGAGTTGACTTCAATTGATCTAACTTCTTCTTTAAATTGTTTACTCGATTAGCAAATGTTTTATATGCCTAAAAGAGAAAAAGATATCTTATTTCTCTGGCATAAGAGCCAAGTGAGGATGATACATTAAGCAATGTTCTGCTTTTTTTTTTTTGTCGATCGTGGGGCTTGAACTCTGGGTCTGGGCACTGTCCCTGAGGTCTTCAGCTCAAGGTGAGTGCTCTGCCACTTGAACCACAGCACCACTTCCATTAATTGGAGATAATGAGTCTCATGGACTTTCCTGCCTGGGTTGGCTTTGAACCATGATCCTCAGATCTCAGACCCCTGAGTAGCTAGGATTATAGGTGTGAGCCATAAGCACCTGGCTTGGGGATTTTTGTTGTTGTTGTTTTTTGATCATCAGTGTGGTCTGAACTCTGGGTCTAGGCACTGTCCCTCAGCTCTTCAGCTCAAGGCTAGCACTCTACCACTTGAGCCACAGCGCTACTTCTGGCTTTTTTTCTGCTTATGTGGTGTTGAAGAAACAAACCCAGGGCCTCATGCATGGAAGGCAAGCACTCTATCACTGAGCCACTTTCCCAGGCCCTTGGGTTTTTTTTTTTTTTTGGTCTGGTCATGGTCCTGAACTCTGGGCCTGGGCGCTGTCCCTCAGCTCTTCAGCTCAAGGCTAGCGCTCTACCACTTGAGCCACAGCGCCACCTCTGGCTTTTTTCTTTTTTGCTTATGTGGTGCTGAGGAATCGAACCCAGGGCCTCATGCATGCAAGGCAAGCCCTCTACCACTGAGCCACCTTCCCAGCCCCCCTTGGGTTTTTTTTTTTTTGGGTCCGGTCATGGGGCCTGAACTCTGGGCTTGGGCGGTGTCCCTAAGCTCTTCAGCTTAAGACTGGCGCTCTACCACTTGAGCCACAGCACCACTTCCAGCTTTTTTCTTCTTGCTTATGTGGTGCTGAGGAATCGAACCCAGGGCCTCGAGCATGCAAGGCAAGCGCTCTACCACTGAGCCACCTTTCCAGCCCCCCCCCCCGGGTTTTTTTAAAACTGTATTTTTTTTCTTTTTTCTTTTTTGGTACTGGGATTGAACCTAGGACATTGTACTTGCTAGAAAAGTGCTTTGCCACTGAACTAAATCCCAGTTATTAACATCATTAGCACAAAAGAAGAAAATACAATTATCTGTCAAGCACAGTTATTATGCCTCCTAAATGAATATCATCATGTACACAATTGTCTGAGTCAGAAATCTAAAAGTTATCATTCATCTCTCATTCCTGTCTATCCATACAATCAACTATACTTACTAACAGTCTCAAATATGATAGTTACTCTTATAAGCACTAGAAATAAAGCAGTGAATAAAAAGTTACCTATATTGATAATTTTTTATTAAAGTCTATATTCAGATTTTCTTGATTTTTACCTAATGTCTCTTTCATGATTCAGGTTCACACTAATGATACCACATTACAATTAGTACAATTAGTAGTTATACTTTTCTTTTTTTTTTGGGGGGGGTCCAGTCGTGGGGCCTGAACTCTGGGCCTGGGCACTTCCCTCAGCTCTTCAGCTCAAGGCTAGCACTCTACCACTTGAGCTACAGTGCCACTTCCAGTTTTCTGGTGGTTTATTGGAGATAGGAGTCTCATGGTCTCTCCTGCCCGGGTTGGCTTTGAACCGAGATCCTCAGATCTCAGCCTCCTGAGTAGCTAGGATTACAGGTGTGAGCCACCTGCACCCGGGCTGGCTGGGATTTATCAGTTTGGGGAGATATGATTTAAGTGCTATAGTCAACACATTGAATTGGAGGTACTTAACACAATGACCTGCATTTGATCACTTTTCAAGATTAGCATCAAAACTGAATATCAGTATTTTATATGATTAAATTCTATTAACCTCCGATTATCTTAACTGTCACTATCTTAAGTCTGTGGGCTATTTTTCTTTTCCTTTCCCATTTTACTGTCAGTCATGGGCCTGGGTGTCGTCCTGAGCTCTTTCACTTTTGAGCCACTGCTCCACTTCTGGTTTTCTGCTGGTTAATTTGGGAGATAAGAGTCTCCCTGGTAATCCTAGCTATTCAGGAGGCTGAGACCTGAGGATCGTGGTTCAAAGCCAGTCTGGGCAGTAAAGTCCATGAGACTCTTATCTCCAATAAACCACTCAGAAAACTGGAAGTGGTGCTGTTGGCTCAAGTGGTAGGGTGCTAGCCTTGAGCAGAATTGCTCAGGGATAGCGCCCAGGCCCAGAGTTCAAGTCCCATGAGAAACAAAAAAAGAAAAAAGAAAAAGGAAAAAAAAAAGAGTCTCTTGGACTTTCCTGCCTGTGCTGGGTTTAAGTTGACATCCTCAGATCTCAGCCTCCTGAGTAGTTAGGATTACAGGGATAAACCAACAGTGAGTGCCTCACTCCAAAGGATCAATGCTCCTATCAAGAACCAATAGAAATTCTAATATTGTACATCAATGGTAAAATATTTGCCTAGAAGGCAATAAGATAGATCCCTAGCACCTATCGTATGCACGTGGACCATATATACATCTAGACACCATACGATCTTTCACATACGATGTTCAGCATTCAAAAAAAATTAGCAAGTTAATAGGTCCAAATAATTAAAAAGGAAAAAAAATACATTCACAATACACTGACAACAAATAAAGCTAATATTGAAATTATCTGACAAAACCCAAATAGCTATAGTTAATATGTTCACAGCCTAGGAAAACCTTTTCCCCTTCTTTCTTCAATTATTAAATCCCAAACCCATCAGTTGGAGCTGAAAGGAAGTCTGCACAGGTGAGAGGCATTTCAAGGGATTTCAGAGAAAGCTCACAGAGGTGGTTGACAGGGATAGAAGTCTGATCAAGATTTTGTTAAAGTGTTAGAACATTCAGAATCACAAGTAAGGGAGAAAACTAGAAACAAAGTTTGTTTTGCTGGACTGAAATAACACTGTGACCTCATTGTTTGAAACATGTATGTACACACAAGTATATATATATATATATATATGTATAGATAGATAGATATATCTATATATAGATATAGACACACATATATATACACATAAATGTGTACAGAGGTTAAATATGTATATATAGACACATATTTTCTGGCTTTCTAAATGGTACCACCTAGCTGCAGTGATATCTAATGAGGACATTTATTGCTTAGATCTTGGTTTCTAAACATTGTTTCAGCAAAATGTACTATGTCATTTAGAGAAATAACTGATTCCAGGGCTAGGTAAAGAGGTGAGTCTGGAACATCTTGTTCTGAAAGTGAGGAAGTGCTTAAAAATGATGGGGAGGGCTGGGAATACGAATTAGTGGTGAAGTGCTTGCCTAGCATGCATAAAGCCCTGGGCTTGATTCCTCAGTACCACATACACAGAAAAAGTCAGAAGTGGTGCTGTGGCTCAAGTGGTAGAATGCTAGCCTTGAGCAAAAGAAGCCAGGGACAGTGCCCAGGCCCAGAGTTTAAGCCCCAGGACTGGTTTAAAAAAAAAAAAAATGATGGGGACCTGGACAGGAAAGTCTATAAGCCTCTTATCTCCAGTTAGCCACCAAAAAAACTTAAGTAGAGCTGTGCCTCAAGTGGGACAGTACCCAGACTGTGAGTTCAAGTCCAAAAGCTAGCTCAGAGAGACAGAGAGAGAGAGGGAGGGAGGGAGGGAGGGAGACAGGAAAGTAGGTAGGTATTGTGATATATATGCCTGTAAGCCCAACATTTGGAAGGCTGAGGCAGTAGAGTTTTGAGGCCAGTCTGGGCTGTACAGCAAGATCATCTAACGAAAGATAGGGTCAGGTCAAAAGAGCACAAAAAGGGATTTGAAAAGAAGGTCCATTGGACAAAATTTGGTCAATTTGAGCATCAAAATACTTGTCATAATGAATCCTGGCAGAAGGTAGAAGCAGGAAAATGGAGAGTTCAAGGCTAGCCTGGGCAAAGGTAATAGTCAGACCTTGTCTCAAAAATAAATGAAGAAGCCAGGCTGTAATCATAATTCCTCAAGAGGATGAGATCTAAAGATTGAGGTTCAAAGCCAGCCCAGGCAGCAAAGTCCATGAGACTCTTATCTCAAATAAACTACTCATAAAAAGCCAAAAGTGCTGTAGCTCAAGTGGTAGAGCGCTCGCCTTGAGCTGAAGAGCTGAGGGACAGCACCGAGGCCCAGAGTTCAAGCCCCACGACCGACAAAAAAAAAAAAAAAAGCTGGGCGCTGGTGGCTCACACCTGTAATCCTAGCTACTCAGGAGGCTGAGATCTGAGGATCGCGGTTCAAAGCCAGCCCGGGCAGGAGAGACTGTGAGACTCCTATCTCCAATAAACCACCAGAAAACCGGAAATGGCACTGTAGCTCAAGTGGTAGAGTGCTCGCCTTGAGCTGAAGAGCTGAGGGACAGCACCCAGGCCCAGAGTTCAAGCCCCACGACCGACAAAAAAAAAAAAAAGCCAAAAGTGGCACAGTGGCGCAAGTAGCAAACACTAGCCTTGAGCAAAAGAGGCTCAGGGACAGTGCCCAGACCCAGAATTCAAGCTTCAGGAACCTTACCCCCTTCCTTGCCCCCCCTCCAAAAATGAAGAGAGAAGGGGAGGTATTAAGTGGGAATAGGGATGAGGAAGAAGAAATAAAGATTCCAGAAAATGGCCTAGCATAAACAAGAGTCAGGGTTCAATCTCTAGTACCACAAACAACCCCAAACCATTAATTTATATGGATATATATGAGCAAACAAATTCTGATGAGAAACAGGATATTTATGCAGTTTCCAAATATCCCAAGAAACATAATAATTACATCGCTAGTTTTCTCAGTCTGTGATAATAAACTACTATAACATACAAGGCTTAAAACAATAAAAATTTATCAAGATATATTTTATTAATAAATTTTAACCTTTTTTTTTTTTTTTTGGCCAGGTACTAGTGGCTCATGCCTGGATCCTAGCTACTCAGGAGCTGAGATCTAAGGATGGCAATTCAAAGCCAGTTCAGGCAGGGAAGTCTATTAGACTCTTACCTCCAATTAGCCACCAGAAAACCAGAAGTGGTGCTGTGGCTCAAGTGGTAGAGCCCTCGCTTTGAGGTGAAGAGCTCAGGGACAGGGCTTAGGCCCAAAGTTAAGTCCCACGACCAACCAAATAAATAAACTACTTTCTTAAATGGCAACTCCTTTGTACAACTACCTAAAGACAATTAAAAACCAACATCAACAAAAACTTACTGTCTCAAGTTAAATGGTACAATCAGTTGAGGTACCCAACAGATGAATAAATAAAGATGTGAGATGTGTACACACACACACACACACACACACACACTTACACAGAATACAATCACAGGAAAAATGAAGTGGCGCTGTGGCTCAAGTGGTAGAGCGCTCACTTTGATGTCAAGAGCTCAGGGACAGCGCCTAGGCCCAGAGTTCAAGCCCCACAACTGACAAAAACAAACAAACACATTTTTAGCCAAGCGTCAGTGGCTCATGCCTGTAATCCTAGCTACTCAGGAGGCTGAGATCTGAGGAGTGAGGTTCAAAGCCAGCCTGGGCAAGAAAGACCGTGAGACTCCTATCTCCAATAAACCACTAGAAAACTGGAAGCTCAAGTGGTAGAGTGCTCGCCTTGAGCTGAAGAGCTCAGGAACGGCTCCCAGGCCGAGAGTTCAAGCCCCACAACCAACAAAGAAAAAAAAAAAAAAAGAATCATGTTATCTGCAGGAAAATAAAACTGAAGGACATAATCTTGAGTGAGATAAACCAAGCTCAAAAAGTCAAGTATCAGCTGGCTGCTGGTGGCTCATGCCTGTAATCCTAGCTACTCAGGAAACTGAGATCTAAGGATCATGACTTGAAGCCCACTGGAGCAGGAAAGTCTGTGAGACTTTTTTTTTTCTTTTTGGGTCCAGTCGTGGGGCCTGAACTCTGGGCCTGGGCGCTGTCCCTCAGCTCTTCAGCTCAAGGCTAGTACTCTACCACTTGAGCACAGCGCCACTTCCAGCTTTTTTTTTCTTTTTGCTTATGTGGTGCTGAGGAATCGAACCCAGAGCCTCATGCATGCAAGGCAAGCGCTCTACCTCTGAGCCACCTTCCCAGCCCCTCTGTGAGAGTCTAAGTAACCACCAGAAAACAGGAAGTAAAACGCTCAAAGTGGTAAAGGACTAGCCTTGAGCAATAGATGCTCAGGGATAGTGCCCAGGCCCTGAGTTCAAGTCCCAAGACTGACCAGAAACAAACACACACACACACGCACAAAAACCCAAAAGCCAAATATTGTATGTTTTTGCTCATATGTGGAAGTCTGACACAAGGCATACATATTCGCAGACAGAAACACACATACACAGAGAATGAATTTAGCAATGGGACTTATGGGACTAAATAGGAGGAAAAGGGGAAGTGAGAAGGGAAAAAGATAGAGGGTGAATAATTCTAAAACGTATTAGTAAAAAGCCAGGTTCCAGTGGCTCATGCCTGTAATCCTAGCTACTCAGGAGGCTGAGATTTGAAGACCGCAGTTCAAAGCCAGACCAGAAGCCATGAAGACTCTTACCTTCAATAAGCTACTCAAAAGCCGGGGGGAGGGGGGGAAACCTCAGGGACAGAACCCAGATCCCATGTTCAACCCCAGGACTAGCACAAAAACAAAATGAATCAACAACAACAACAAAGCTGTTAACAGAAAATAGGCTCTGTTGGCAGGTGGGTAGTATTGGTAGGGTTTTAGGCCAATGAGGAGAGTGAATGAGGACAAATATGATTGAAGTAGTTTGCTTGCATATATAGGAAACAGAACAATGAAAGCTGTTAAAATAGTTTTAGGAAAGGAGGAGGAGGTGGATGAAACTGAGGACCATGTTTCAAAGCCAGTCTAGGAATACAAATCTGTGAAATTCTTATCTTCCATTAACCAGTGAAAAGTTGGAACTGGAGGCATGGTTTAAGTGACAGAGCACTGGTTTTGAGTGAAAAAGTCAAATGAAAGTACATGGTTCTAAGTTCAAGCTCCACTGTTGGCGCATGAGCATGAGCTCAGATGCACTCTCACATATGTATATAACAAAAACAAAACAAAGAAAAGCTTATTATCTCGTAAGTTTGGAGGGTAGAAGTTCAAATATCAAGATTCTAGCCACAAATGGTAGAGTGCTAGCCTTGAGCTGAAGAGCTGAGGGACAGCG